CCTCTCTTCTCGGAGGGGCAGAGGGGTCTCACCTGCCCACCAAAGACGTCTGACATAGAACAGAGGAGCTCCGGCTTCTCGGCAGACTGACCTTAACGCTGAAAGGAAAGCATGCAAGGAAAGGCAAAAATCTCAGGAAAGGACATTTGGAGGACAGGATGCCCCTCCTCCTGAGCGGACACCTGCTGCTGACCAGAACGAAGGAAGGAGCTGGGCTCCCCGACAAGAAAGCAGCTAAGCCACTAATCCCCCAGGGTCCTCGAGGTTGTGGACAAGCTGCAGACACACCACCACGTCCCCGCTGGGAACCAGAAACCCACCAGCAGGCTGGGTAACTGTGGCCGGCGAGGTGACAGCCGCAGATCATCCAAGATGGCACGACGCTAGAATGACCCGACCCACCGCAGCAGGGGAAGGCCACATGCCGAAAACTCACCCCTCGCCCGCCCTTGAGAAGCTGCCAAGAAACCACTCCCCCGGAACAGGAGGTGCCTGTGTAAAACACTCGTGCTGTGCTGCACCCATCTGGACGGATGCATGCGTAACAGAGAACCTTCCAGGCCCTGGAGCCTCATCAGTGGACGAGACAGGAGCAGGAAAACCTGGCTTCGCTCAACCTTGCCACAACTTAGCTGTGTGACCTGGCGCTGCCAACCTAACTTCCCTGCATGTCAGCTGCCTCCGCCCTGAAAAAGGTGGGCTGGATTCATCTAGAGCACCGAAGTCAGCATCGGGCGAGGTCAGCCATCAACGGCTCCCTGCAGGCAGGGGGCTTACATTCCAATCAGGATTTTTCTTGGGTCATTTTCCATTGTAGCTTTTCTTATTCAACAAAGATAATTCGATAATGGGGCACCTGGCTGGCTCCGTCGCTTAGACCACGTGACTCTTGATCTTGGGGTTATAGGTTCGAGCCCCACATCAGGCGCGGAGATGACTTAAAAACGATAGTAATAATAAATAATTCTATAAATAATGATACCAGCGGACACCTGCTGGCACCACCTTGTGCCAGGCTCCCAGCAAAGAGCTCTGCATTCACGCTGAAAAGCACCCCACGTTGGGCACTACACCCTGTTTTAAAGAGGAAGAAACTGAGGCGTAGAGGAGCCCACATGGGGTGCCCATGGTCACCCAGCTGCCACTGAAGCAACTGGAAATAGGCTGAAGAAATGAGATCTCCGTCGATCAACAGATAAGGTTCTGGCCTCTGACTCGTAAGGAGGAAAATGGCAACCTGGGGAGCAGAGAAGGCTTTATGACACATGAGGGTAACTAGGGCAGATGGGTTGTTACACCCAGACTCACCCGTGCCCCTAAGAGGTTCGACAGCCTCTTGGTTTTTCCGCACGAGAAAAAGAACCCACAAGCTTGAGCAAAACTCTTGCAGGCAGCCAACGCTTCTGCCCAAAGGGACTGACAAAATGATATGACATGATTGATCCCAATCATGCCCGTTCCTCCAATGGCTTCAAATTAAGTCATCTTTTTTAGAATAGCACGACCACTTTAATTTTTTAAAAGACAGAGGGGAAGAAACTCTTACATATTTTACAAAATGAGATAATCATCCAGCGAAATAGGAAGGCACAGAACGGACCCATCGTCTTCTGATCAAAATGTACTTCGCTAATTAACGGCCACTAGTCTCCAAAGAGTCGCCCCTCGACTAGTTAATAAAGCCCCATTATACTTCACTTGAGAGGTGAACATTTACATCGCAAAGGGGGATGAATGAACTGCAGGATTCAAAGCCCTTCCTTCGGATCGCTCATTAAAATTCTGGTCAAAACGGATTTTTATTTATATGATACATTAAAGAATATTATGACAGTACTAATATGAAATCTGCTCCTCACTGCCACAGCTTTGCTTTCATATTAAGTTACAGTTTCTTTCCACTAGTCTTGTTTTAACACCTCCACGAATATTTCTCTGGCGAGTGCTAGCAAAGAGGGATGGCCAGAAAGCAGAGAAATGCATTTTAACTGAAACCCGCGCTAACGTATCATTGACAAGCTCCTCACCCAGCCCCCGAGGAGGGGCGCAGTTCACCTCTCACCTGGACCCCGACACATCCACACACAGAAGTTTTATTGAAGGGAGATAAACAAAAAATAAATAAGGCTTGACCTAAACTCCTAGACTCCCTGCCAGCCAGAGTTTGGCCTCCAACACTAACTTCAGTCTGAAATCCCCGTGGCCAGGCTCAAATTCTATCGGAAAATAACCGTCGACAAGAAAGGCACTTTCTCCCCAACCTGCCCCAACTCCCAACCAGCACACACCTCGCCAATTCCCCAGCCGCTTCCCTGGAGCTGAGCAAAAGAGTCCTGTGAAAGGGTGCCCCTCCACACGGCCAGCCAGAGTCACCCCACGGGATGACATCACGGGGTCTGGGTGAATCACCCAACCAGGGACCTTCAAAGGCCACGCACGCTGGCTACGGTTCTGCTCCTCACAGCCTGACCACCACCCTGCACTGCGTCCTCTGCCCGAACGGACACCCTAGATCCCGCCAAAGGATAGCTCACCGGGCAGGGGCCCGGTTCTGGAGCTAGGCTGCCCATACCCCACTTCTCAGCCCATGTGTGCCTCGGTTTTCTCATCTAGACATTGGACATAATCCTAGTGCCCACCTCTCAGGACACAGGCGAAGACTGGATGAGCTGATATACATAAGGACCCTACAACAGTGCCTGGCACATAAATTCAATTAACGTCATTATGATCACTAGGCCTCTCTTGGCGACTGGTATGAGAGCCTAACAAAATTAACAGTAAAAACAGCAGGTAATACATATGGTATTACCACGCACCAGGTTTTTTTTTTTTTTAAGGACTTTACCTTTATTAACTTATTTAATCCGCAAAAAAACTCGGTAAGATGGGGTATATGAGATTCCAAGAAACCAAATGATTTGCCCACATCCACGCAGCGAATGAGGGGCAGGGCCGGGATCCGAACCCAAGCTGCTGAGCTTGAAAATAACAAAAAGAAAGATGATTAAACCAACAAAAATAATGATAATGGTGACGATGAGGAGGGATGAGGCCCTCACCCCGTGCCGGGCTCTTTCACTCTCCATAGCAACCTTGTGAGGGAGCTACCCCCATCACTCACCTTTTACAGAAGAGCAAACAGGCCGGGAGAGATGGTTTGCTCAGTGTCTTGGGACCTGAGATGCAGATGGAGATAACAGATAGGAAAGTCCTTGGGAAAGAGTGCCATAAAAAGCAAGGTATTGTTATGCAATCTCTAGAACTCGACGGAAAGATGTCCTCCCCCAACTGATATAATATTTGCTCACATCTAAAAGTCTGACAATCCACCTAAAACATCCCAGACTCCAGGTTGGGGGGTGGGGAGGTGCACATTTTGACAAGGTCGAGAAATAGTCTATCTCGTTTTCAAGTTGAATGCATCACCGAAAAACGAAATGCCAGAGTATGTTAAAATGAAATACAGCTTTCCTGGTTTAAAAAAAAAAAAAAGTGGTGGGGAGTGAGGGGTGGGCAACAAGAGGGAAGAGAAAACAGGTCAAACCCATGGTTTGACCGAGTCAGGGATTTTTCCAGTTTCCCTCTAGGTTAATCTGATCTAGTTCTGGGTGATCAAATGACTAACCTGGAAATTTGAAGATTCACACTTATGGAAGAAACAGCAATTCTTCCAAACTCAGGAAATACTGCTAATTCTGGAAAGCCTCTGAAATGTCAAGGATCACACACAGTTTACACAGTTAGCAGTCCGAAAGTTTGTGCTCAGTACAGAAATAATCTAACCTCTTCGGTTCCTTGATTCCTATTATTTGCTTAATCATTAGGGGGGGAAAAATGCCTTAAGAAAGTATTTTTGCTCTATTTACTTAAGAGATTTGTGTTTCCTTTGAAAGAAAAGAAAGGAAAAGAAAAATTACATGGGGAAAAAAAAAAAAAGGAAGGATGGATCACATGGCAGGCTCCAGACCTGAAATTCTCAAAATGTCATCCACAAGTGCCAACTTTCTCTTCATTAAAGTGCTTCATCCCTCCCTTTACACAATTAAAAGGTTCCACCTGTGGGAGACTATGCTTGAAGAAATAAATGGAATTTGCAAAAGCAACAACTCTCTCCCTTTATGACCTGTAATCGGAAGCTTCACCTTTTCTCCCCTTCCCTAAAAGAATGCCAAGGCCACAAGCTACAGGAAAAGTCTACCTCTCAATATTACATAGAGAAGAAAAAAGTATAATTAAAACGTGCGATTTTAACATGTTAAGTCCATAAATTTCACCTTCAGTTCCAGGTAGCTCTGTTCTCATCCCCATAGCTGGCAAGCTCAGCAAAAACTATGTTAGCCACACACTTGTGAAAAAGTGAAGGCCGATCTCGACCCTCTAAGCAAATCTTGTAGTACCACTCCTCCAAGGTTATAACATACTCAGAGCTTCTCCCCCAGGCCCCAGCACTTGAAAATGTGCCCTGATTGATCCCACCAACCTGAAACCAAGACATCCAATGCCTCCTCTGTCAGATTCAGGGCTTTAATGGGTCTACGAAGTCGTTTCTCCAAGGAAAGACAAGCTGTTTACTCAAATTCTACTCCTCTCCATAAACTCCAAGTTGTAAGGGCCTCAAAAGAGAACCCTCCAAAAGACAGTCACAAGGAAATGTCCACATTCTCCTGATAGGATCTTGGCAATGCTTAAAAAGTAAATAGAACATTTGCACAAATATTGCAACAGACGGAGCTCTGTCCTGCCACGAAGGATCAGGCTTGCCCCTGCCCCCTGTTGGATGCTCAGAACCCACCTCGGGATGGCTAAATTGCAGACGCACGCGATTATCTTGCGGAGCTCCTTGCCTGGCCTGGACTCTCACAGCCACATGCTGATACCCTGAAGGTACCTGAAGGCACCAGGTTTCCACACTTGATTGCCAGTACTCTGTTTGAAATTCAAAATCCTTGGCAACCATCTCTGAGTGCTAAAATCCTATTACTGATTCTCCTACTTACCTTGGGTTGCGCCCGACGAGGAAATGCAACTTTGGGGTCAATCTGGGGGGGGGGAAATGGGAAAGTAAGAGTCAATTCCAGTATTTGGAGGAGAGGGAGAAAAAATTATGATTAATCACCTAATTATTAATCACTCATTTCTCAGGCTTATAACCCAGCTTTTAGTAACTTCTCAGGCAACTCAAAGTTCCTTAAACTTTGATCCAAACTTTACTCATCCCTCCCACAATGTAACAAATAAAGGAGCCTCTCTAAAATGTCCTACCATGTATTTCAACGTGTGATGTTCTTAATAAATCAGATCTCACATGTTCTTATTTAAGCAAGGGCTTCTCTTCTGCAGACACTGGACATTGAATGGTACCTGCATCTAATTTGCAATGCATGACTGGGAGAAAAGATGGGACCATCATCTCTGAAAAAAAAATCGTAACTTGAAAAATTAAACGTAAGAATTTTTCAGCAGTCGGTAACTGGATAGATCTTCTCCCCAGTGATAACTAAACAAGGCAGGTGGAAAAGGGGATTCCAAAAATTTTTTAAATCATCAACATCCAAAAACTCCCCATGGACATCCAACACTATGCTCGGCTTGAGTTCATTCATTCGTGTTGGCAAAAGTACAGCTACCTGAGTTAGCTAAAAAGTTCATTCTGTAGTTAGACCACAAGAGGAAGCAGGTGTCAAAACCTATGGAGCCTAACCCAGTTCTTAAAAAATAATAATAATACTACAGTAAGATAAAAGGAAACACACCCGCTAAAACTACTTGGATTTTAAAAATCACAGAGGGTAGAAATCTATCAGCAACCTAAACCCAAATTACAAGAGTAAGGCCATCATGGGGAGAGGGTAAAAAAAAAAAAAAAAAAAATTACTGAAAAAAAGAAATCGGAATCTACTGTAACAATTAGGGTATTCTTCCTACCCCAACCCCCGATCAGAATGGAAAAACATCCTCCACCCCCAGATCAGACACTCAGCAGAACACATGATTCTCAAAAGGGGAATGGCTTTAAAAATCAAAACAATTCCCATGGAAGTATTTGAATCTAATAGGCTGATTCGAGGTGGGGGAAGTTGTTGGACAGAAAATATGGGGAGGGAAAGAATTTTAAAAATCCCCATTATTGGTTTTCATTAGACTTCTAAATGTTACAAATCTTTGGCTAAAACTCAACACAGAATATTGCTACAAGTTATTTATTTATAGGCTCTGGCTTTCATAATACAATTTTCCCCTTTTAAAATGTAAACCTGAACCTTGTTTTCAGTTCTGTGGGGCAGCAAAAAGAGTAAGGCTGTGGGACGAAGCACGGGGGGCGGGGGGGGGGGGGGGGCAAGGCACACCAAAGATTTCTTGTGCCCAGACCTACATCCCTTAGGACACCCCAGCTGGTAAAACAAAGATTTACCACTTGTCTTAAGGTGGTTTAAAGACCTAATAAAAGTCCACAGCATGTTTTTTTACCTTTAAACATCACCTGAGAAATGAGGGATTACTTTTCAAAAACTAAAATAGACAAAAATCTCTGATCTAGGAAACTAACCTCTCATCAAGATTAACATTACCACATCTACAGGTGTATTCAGCACTGACTAGAGCTGTCTACAAGAGAGATACAACAGGTGTGGATTTTCCATTCTGTTGACCAAACATAAGACAGATGTGTCTTTTTATAAACACTCCCCCCAGAATACGGCTTTTGAGCTGACCAGCACACAATTGCAGTAAGAAGTCACCTTGTTTGCGGAGTAAAAGGTGCGGGACATGTCGGGAGAGAGACCAGGAGCTGCGGGGGAGGGATAGGAAGCCCTGAAGAAAGTGGAACACTCAAAAAATATCTAAAATTACAAAACTCAAAGCCAATTCAGAATTCCTGGATGGTGGGTTTGTGATAACAGCGTGTCAGACCACCAGGCGCATTCTTCAGTGTGCAAAGTTTACACGCTGAAATCTCCAAAGGAGAAGACAGGTCAAGGTAAGTATGGCAAATCCCAACCTTTTGCACATCCCTGTCAACTATTTTTTTTTAAACAAACGAAAAAGAAAACTACCAAAAATTAAAACATTAGTTAGTTAGGTACAGTTCTACTTACTGTAGCTACAAATCCTCTAGGAAAAGACTAGGGTACTATTTTGGATGTGAATGGCCGTTACCTAAACAAAGCTTTTAAGGTAACGGTAAACAAGATCCTCGTTTCCATGTCAATAAACCAACCGCTTCTGCCTCCTGCACTGAACGTTGAAACAAAGTCAAAATCTAGGTTATACTAATTAATAGTGACCAAAACATAAACAATTAGGGAAAACCGCACGTTTTGCACCTGATACTGAGGGCTATGACCCACCAGGCACCATAGAAACCACATACTATTTCTCCTACCCAGGGAGGGGAGACGGAGTGAATAATAAATTCCTGAATTTGCCTTGAAATATTTTCCTCTTTAATTTTGCTAGCTTTTTGAAACGTCTGACCAAGAAGTCAAGGGGAAAAAAACATTCCTCAGACATCCATTATCACCCTACAAATGACTGTCCCTAAAATTAAATTATCTAAAAGCGCAAAAAGGCTGGGCTGCAAGCTATGGCAAGTCCAGCACAATTGATAAAGCAACTTAAAGTGCCTGGGGTCCTCTCTTGGGGGCTAGGGAACATGCACCTGACCTCTGATCAGAGAAACAGGGTGAATTTGCAAAATAAATTCACGTGCACCAAAGGTGGCCAGGTTTCTTTCCCTTTTTTCCCTTCCCCTCAATGTTAAAGCCAAAAGGGGCTTGGAAGATCACCCTGTTCCTCTCCTGTATTTTACAGAAAAGGAAACTGAGCCCCCGCCAAGGCAGGGAACAACTTGCCCAAATTCATAAATGGCAGCTGGGACTAGACCCTGATCCTTTGCCTTGCCCCACCACCTACCACACTCCCAAGCAACCCAGCACTGCATCCCAATGTCACCTCGGGGCCCCTGCTTTGGCAGATATATAAAAACTGTGGGGAGATTCTAACAAGCATAAAGGGAAGGGAGAGCCATAAAGCCAACACAGGGGTCTAAATAAAACACTACGAGCTATCCGCCCCCCCATGACTATACTAACATCTTTCTTCCCTTCTTCTCTAATCTCTACCTAGAGACTTTTCCCCCTCTCCACACGAGTCTCTGAAACCTTCTAATGCTATAGAAGTACCCACACTCAAAAAATAAAGGATCTGAGGGAAAAAAGCAAAACCAAATCACTTGGAAACCCAAGGCCTTATCAGTGTTAGATTTCAGCTCCATCTGGAGTCACCCACTGGACGCCCAGCGTGGCTCTGGGGGGTCTCCTTCCCTTCTCAAACCACATTCCAAATCCGAGGTGCCCCAGGAGAAACCTGTTGCCTGGACCTGGGATTAGCGCCCCCTCGCCTTCCTCCCGGCCCCAGTCCCCCCCCCCCCGCTGGCCACGAAGCGGGCTGTGCCTTCTAAAAGCCAATTCCCACAGCCACAGTTGGTAACGCGTGCTGTGCTCGGCTGACAAAGAAAAGTTGCCTTTGCTCTGTGGTGCAGTTTCCTTGCATGGTCCCTGGGCCCCATAGATAGCCTCTCCCCGCGCAGACCCCTCCCCCAGGCCTACGCTGGGCAGCATCTGGAGCTGCAGTGGGACAGGCTCTAAACAGAAAACCCCAAACCCAGCCATGGCAGAAAACTTTAGAGCCAACTCTCGAGCCCTGCTTATCACTACCCAGTTCTCAGCACAGAAGCAAAAGAAAGCACGGTCCCTTTAAATGGGGCTGTCAATGCCCAGATGGGTCCTGAACAGGGGCGAACAACAACAACGACAGAAAGCAACCTACCGTCTTGGAATCTAACTCATGGTGGGGCTGACCTAATACTTTATCTACACTTGCTGGGTCTGCGAACGTGACGAAACCGAAGCCTCTGAAATGAGACAAAGAGGGAGAAAAACAAACAAAATGTGACACCATTGAAAGCAACAAGGAGTGAGCCCTCCTGCAGAATGGAGAGCCAAAGTTGCCCCCTCGCACCCCCGCGGCCCACAGCCCTCCCCCAAGGCCCCTCCACCTCGCAAGAAAACACATCAAGGTTAACCGGGGAAGTGGAACGGGGGCAGGGCGGGTGGAGGTAACTTGGAAAATGCTGGTGTCTCCACTCTTTCGCCACCTCAGTCTCCTCTCCTCCTCCCCTTCCCTTTCTTAACGCTTTGTTTTATTCTGAAGAAAACCCGGCGCTCAGAAGAGATTCATCCAGCTTTCTAAAAGGGGCTGAAGAGTTTAGGGAGCTGGGAGTATGGGGAAAGCATACATTAAAAAAAAAAACAACTATGTAGAAAGTGAATGAAGCTGAATGTCATTTTAAACAGGAGAAAAAGAAGCGACGGGAAAAGGACTTAAAGCAGAGAGATGGGCATCTCTGTATCCAGAGTTCAGCCCCAATTAACAATAACCTTTCGGGTTATGGGGGCGGGCGTGGGGGGGGTGGAATAGAGCGACGTTCGAAACTAGCCACATGCCTGAGCCCCATTCTAAATCCGCTTAGCTACTTCCGAAGACACCTCCAAAAATAACACTTAAACTTTGTTCTAAAATAAAGACAAAATCCAGAAAGGAATGGTTTACCTGGAGCGTTTCGTAGTGGGATCTCTCATGACCATACATTCTCTAATTTCTCCAAATTTGCTAAAATAGTCTCTAAGGCTATCTGTAGAGAGAGAAAGAGAGAGATGGGGGGGGAGAAGGTGTGGAAAAAAAAAGCAATGCAAATTTTGATCAAGGACAAAAACCAAAAGTAGTTTTCTGTTGTTATTCTGTTTTGTTTTTGCATTTTTTGCACACGCGGGGGAAATTCGGCAACAGAGGTCGCGTAGAGGGCTCTGAAAGGATTTGCTATTTAAAAAAATAACCTTGCACAGGAGAAGTGGGGAGCCAATGGCGGGGGGGGGCCTCCTACACCGGGATAACAAAGAGCAATAAAGAAGCCAAGAAGGGGGGGACCCAGACGTCCCCCCCTCCCTCCCTTACCTGGTGAGGTCTGCCAGCTCAGTCCACCGATAAACATTTTACTAGAGGGAGAAAACATAACAGAAGTGAGCACCGATGTCAGATCGGCCATTTTGACGTGTAACTTACAAAAGCTAAAAGGAAAGCGGGGGGGAGCGAGCGAGCGAGAGCCGGGAGGTGGGGTGGGGGAGAAGGTGACGGCGAAATGCAATCCAAAGGTGTGTAACTTCCACGGGGGGGGTGCGCGGGAGGGGCGGGGGGGCGCGGGAGATGCCCGGCTCCGCGCACCGCCGTCCCCGCCGCTGCAAGGAGAGCGAGCCCGAGGCGGCGCGGTGGGCAGCGGCTGGAAACTTACCCGGGGTCGTGCTGGGAGTCGTTGGCGCTGCCCGAGGTGCCTTGGCTCCCATTTGCCTCCATATCTGAGCCCCCCCGCCCCCCCACCCCCAAAAAACCGAGCCCCACAGCGATCGGAGCGGAGCGGCGGCCGGCTCCGAGCCCCGAGATCTCCCGCTCCCTCCTCCCCCTCCTCCTCCCCCCCGCCCGGGCTCCTCCGAATCTCTCTGCGAGCGGCGGAGCCGGGGCAGCGGCGAGAGCCGTCACACGTGGGCTCGGCTTAGCTCAGCCCCGCTGCTCGCACACCCCCCCGTCCCCGCCCCCCCGGCCCATCCCCACCTCTCCCCCTCCTCCTCCCCACCCCCATCTCCTCCTCCTCCTCCTCCCCCTCCTCCCCGGCGCACGTGGGGCGGAGTTCTAGAACGTCGTGTAACCAATGCCGGTGACGTCACGCACCCCGGTGCGGCCCCCGCCTGCCCGCGCGCGCACACTCGGCCCCCCGCGGCCGGACCCACGGGGGCGGTGCGCGAACCCCGCGGCCGGAGGGGGCCCCGCCTCTAGGCGGGCCGGGCGAGGGGGAGCGCACCCCGACTTCCCTGGATCACATGGGCTGCGGGGGGCGGGTGGATCGGGGGAGGGGGAGGCGCGGGGAGCTCGCTGCCGCTCCTCGCTCGGGCAGGGGAGAAGACGCCCCCCACCCCCTCTAGTTCGGCCTCTCCATTCAAGTTCGCCGGCCCCGGCCGCCGGGATCCGGGGATGGCACCAGCCGCCCGCCTAGCCCTGCGCCCTTTTTCCAGCCACCGCGCAGAAATTTAGGTCAAGGACGTCGGGATCAAATCCAAACCCTGGCGCTCCTCGGCGGGCCCCGAAACCCCCCAGGATCGGGGAGCTTCAGGATTGCGGAGACCCTCCCGCACAAACAGCAGCCACAAGTTTTATTTTCCTTTGGCGCTGGAAGTTCTCTCTGGCTCTGGCTCCACACCGGCACGTCTTGCGCCGCTCCCCGCCCTTCCCCGGCAGAGGTATGAATCCGTGCCGGGGAAAGGTTATTTTGGAACTTTGAGAAACTGACGCGATTCCAGTGGTGAGAAAGTACCGAAGAAAGGGTTTCCGCGTTAATCATACAGAGTTTAAAAAATAGAATAAAATGGGCTTATAGGGGTCAAGGTCAAATGGTTGGGGTTCGAAGTAAATTTTTGTATGTAGTGAGAAATACTCTTGAAGCATCTCTGGGATGGCTGGGAAGGGTGGTTGTTTCCAGGAAACCCCTCTCCAACCGGTTTGTTATATATTTTTATAATTTCTATACGGAGATAGTAAAAATGCATGAGGTTGAAAGAGCCCCAGGACCCCCACCCCCATCTGGGGAGGTGGTTGAGGGTAGCAGAAGGCTTCGACACACTCACCCACTACCACCTTGGTAGCAGTGTGGTGCTGCACACGTCCTGGCACACAGTAGGTGCTTAATAAATACGGGTTTCATCCCTCCCCGCCCTGAAAACCCCAAAAAGAGGATGCTGGTAGCTTCCCGAAGGCATCGCACACTTCTCCAGCCGATTCCAGGCTGGCCAGATTCAGACTGGATTCAATTTATGGGGTATTAAAAACAATAAGGATACAATTATCCATATTGTTTTAAATTATTACAATAAATTGAGTTAATATGGCGTGAGGGGCAACATAAAGTTGTGGTTCATCCAATACTCAGATTATGTTAAGTATGAATTGATGCCCAATTAACACTTTTCCATTAATTTTCATAGGATTAGGACACAATGGAATACACTCAACAGCAAAACTATACCAAATCCACTGTGGGTCGTGGCAAAGTGGAATATTTGGAAAATCCCAACACTAGCCAAAGCCTTGGATGACCAGATTCTTAATCTCCCTGCCTCCTAAATTTGGGATAATTCCTCACTGATAGGATTGATGGGGTGAGAGGAGAGATTGAAGTAAGTAAATATAAAAGTCTCTTTTTTATTGCAAACCTATGCGGGTTGTGCTTATTACCAATCATTACTTACTATGATGTTTTTTGAAGGCACTTTAGAGCTTTAAACCACAAACCCAACCATTTTCCCGTCACTCCAAGCTGCTTCCTAAATCATCTGGGGTCCCCATGTGTTGAAGAGCCCGTTGTTATTATGGTGATTGTCTATTATGACTATTCTCAATAACAAAATGCAGACAACAGAGCTAATTGGATTTTGTTTGGGATTTTTGCACTAGAACCACAGACCATCAGAGGTAGAAAGGCCTTTCCTGATCCAACCCTCTGGTTTTTTCATCAGGGTCCCAGAGGAGCCAAGCTCACCAGGCTACACCCCACCCCCACCAGTCAGTCAGCTCCTAAGAGGGGCTCTGGCCATCACTCTGTTGCCCTTTGGCTCTGTTGCATGCATATTTATTCTGTCCTTCACAAGGCAAGAGTGGGGTGCCCTTGTTCCCTGTTGTAGACCTATGCAAGCTGACCCTGAACAGAATTAAAACCCCAAGAGGGGCTAGCACTGCAATTATAAAGTCACTGGTGGAGAGAGAGCTTGATCTTGTATTTCCATGACTACATTGTTTTTACTTATTGACTTTTCATTTATATGGTGTAATATTTACTCTTCTTATATAATTCTATGAGTTTTTGACAAATGCATAGGATTGAATTGTCTCCATGATGACGAATCCGAGATGCAGAAGAGTTTCATTGTCCCCAAAAATTCTCTCTTTCTGCCCTAATGCACTATGTTATTTGCAATGCCTTATTATTTATTATGCATTTCTTCTCCAGCTCACTCGCTTAATGCAGCCCCTGGGTCAGGAGAATTCCAGCAGAATGCGATGTCAGTCTTCTACCCTCTCTACTGCCCATGACACCGTTAGACACTCCCTTCATGTAACTCACTCTTCCCTTGGCATCCTTGATGCCCACATTCTTTTGGTTTTCCTCCTACCTCTCCAGCCATTTCTTCTCTGTCTCTTTACCCTGACTCCTCCTCTGCTTTTCTTTTAAATACTGGTGTTCATTCTCTTCCCCAGCTACACACCCTCCCTGGATGAGCTCCTTTGAACCGTGGGTTTCTCAATACTACCTACTTGCCGATGCTACTCAAATTAAAGTCTCTGGCCTGAGCTGTCCACAAAGGCTCCAGGCTCTGGTTAATTTCCTATTCACTGTCTGCACTTCACCTTCCTGGAGGTATCCCAAACTCAACATGCATGTCCAAAAACGCATGCATTTTCCCCCTGAACCTAAAACTCTTTTAAGTTTCACTATATGGGTCAACAGAACCCCAGCCATCCTAGAGACAAGGTTGGCCCTTCTCCAGGTTGACATCTTCCCATGTGTGATCTGTCTTGAAGGAGTGTGGGTTTCACTTCCTAAGTATCTCTCAAATTCATCTTTCCTGCCGCTGCATCCCACATTTCCCACTTGAGCCCCTGCAATAACCTTCTAAACATTCTTCCCACACCATGTCTTACTCCATTAATGTACCTGGAAAGCTTTCTCTGACCGGGTCACATCCCCTTTGGAAGGCACTGTTATCTTACCAGAATGTCCTCTATGTGCCTTACCCTGTGCAGTCATTTGCTTTGTTGCTCATCTCCACCACCAAACCATAAGCTCTGCCCTCCACATATTAGCACAGTGCCTATTAGTGCATGGTTGACACTCAATAAATATTTGTTGAACAAATGAAAGGATGAATGAATGAATGAATGAAGGTCAACATCTAATTTAATTGTAGAGTTTATTGTATCCATGTCCATAAGTCAAATTGGCTGCAATTTTCCCTTTTTGTATTGCCTTTGTCTGGTTATACTGGCCTCATAAAATGAACTAGTAAATGTTCCTTCTTTCTTCGTTTTCTGGAACAGTGTGTATAAAATTGGAATTATGTGTTCCTTGAATGTTTGATAGAACTTTCCGGTAAAATGTCTGGGTATGGGATAAACATTTCCTAGGTTGATTCTTAACTACTAATTCCATTTCTTTAGTGGCTATGGATCTCTTTAGGTTTTATATTCTTCTTGAGTCAGTTCTTACACATATTTTTCAAGGAAATTATTCACAGCAACTAGGTTTCCAAATGTATTAACAAAATGCTGTTGATAATTTCCTCTTAATATATTTTAATCTCTGCTGCAACTATCCATCATGTCCATTTATTCATTCCTAGTATCATTGTATATGTGTCTTCTCTTTTCTGGATCAGTGGTGCCAGAGATCTCCCTTTATTTAACTAATATTTCTTCTGTCTACTAGTGTTTTCAAAGAATCAGCTTTTAATTTAACACTATTTTTTGGTTTTGTTAATTTTTATTTCTATATATTATTATATATCATATTCTTGTATGTAAGAATAGGAACGTATATACCATATAACTAAGAATATATAGCACATGTAAGAATATGATACATATTGTGTACTGTTAATATATATCCAGTATTATTTTCTTCTGCTCTCTTTGTGTTTATTCTCTTAATGTTTAAGCCTTTTTTTTTAATTGGTGGCTTAAGTAATTAATTTTCAGCCTTCTGTTTTCTGATTGTAACATAGAAGACTATGGATTTCACTCTGAATACCACTCAAACTATATTCCACAAGATATAGAGAATTTTTATTATTATCCCAGGCAAAGAATAGATTTCAAATATGATTTCTTCTTTGGCTCAGTACATGTGTATCTTTATATTTCTAAACATAAGTTTGTTTTGATTTTTAGTTTTTTATATCTAAGGTAATTGAATGAGGGTCGGAGAAGGTGGTCTGTATAAAAGAGATTCTTGTTATTTGTTGAGACTTGCTTTGCCAAATGGTCTATTTTTATAAATATTCCATGTGGCTTTGAAAAGAATATTCCATGTGTCTGGCTCAGTTGGTGGAGCATGCAACTCTTGATCTTGGGGTCGAGAGTTCAAGCCCCATGTTGGGCATAGAGCATACTTTAAAAAAAAAACAAACAGAATGGGTATGCCTTAATTGTTAAGTGTAGCATACTATATAGACCTATTAAATCAAGCTTCTTAATTATGTTACCCAGATTTTCTGTAGCCTTACTAATGTTTTGTCTGATCACTTTTTATGGTAGTGTATCAGAATCTCCTTATATGATTGAATTTGCCAATTTCTCCTAAAAATCTCTCAAATTTTATTTTTTCTATATTTTAAAAGTATGTGATAAGGCATGTCAAAAAAGGGCTGTTAATATCTCCTACTATAGCTGTGCATTTTTCTATTTTTTACACTTTATTT